TCATTATAATACAGTGACATAGACACGTAGATAGAACTAACTAAATAGTGTTTAGGCCATAAGAATGGTATTAAAGCAGAAAAGTAACACTAACGTACGCGTAGTGAACCCTGCATTGTCGGATTTGATTCACAGTACTGGAGGGAGAGGAAGTGTTAATTTACTTCACGTGAGAACTTACATCCCTCTGAGAAAAATGGCCATTTTCGAATGGTACAAGAACGTATGGTAAACGTAACCTCTGCCTATAAAGCATTGGGACCTTTTGTCCCAAGCAATGATAGATTCATGTCTCAGCCCACTGAGGCGACTCTGTTGTCATCTGAGGGAAACCGAGTTGCAGAAACTGCCGTATAGCGCTTTACTTTCACAGACATTTCAACTATTATATCGCTCACGCTGCTGTCTAAACCTTGTTGACTTGGCTTCGTTTCAGGATACTGGATGGAAAGGTGAAGTTTACTATCGGTCTGGACGTGGCACGTGGCATGCAATATCTCCACCAGCTGGTACCGTCTGTTATTCACCGCGACCTAAATTCTCATAACATACTGCTTAAAGAGAATTGTCGAGCCGTGCTGGCTGACTTTGGCGAGTCTCGTTTTCTCACCGCGACCGACTATGACAACATGACTAAACAACCGGGGGTACGGTGAACTTTAAAATTTTCTAAAACTGTTAGGCAGTTTATATTATTAGTTTGCCTTGTTTTTTGCTCTCTCACAGATCAGGTATACAGGCTTAAAGGCAAAAACTGCTTGGAGCAATTAAAATTCTGGTAATAATCATAGGCTCAGTGAAAAACTGGTTTCCTTCAAAGAATGCATTCCAACTGGAATGAAATATATTCCAGAACAACAGTAACTGAACAGAGATTAACACCAATTAAATGACAGTGATATTTCGTCGTAATTTTCTATCAGAAAGTAGATATTAAACATTAATGGTAAAGTTTCACGTTAAGTAAAACTGGCAGTCTGCTGTGATATGGAAGATGTTGTTAAACTTTCCATGACAACGAACTTGAACACCTGCCATTCGTAAAATGCTAAACATGAAAAAGTTTCCACTGTGAGGTAATAGCTAAGGCTTCGTAGTAGCGGGTACCGTGTAGGTAATCACGATTCCTTTGCAGTTTCATCTATCTAATTAATTTAGAAGTGCATCGATTTCATTACAGCTGTTCCTTCTGTATTTGAGTCGGTGGCTGACCTTCTTATGCCTGGATCTTAATTTGGGTTCCTCCTTCAACGTGGCTGAATTTACGTAAGTTTTAAGAGTGTTGATTGAAAATCGCAAGCGAGGAAAAACAGTTAGGATGAACAGTTCAGAGAATAAACAGTTAGGCAATGTAGAGCATACTTGTGTGAAGATTTATTAAGCCAGAAAACTAATTGTTGCAAACTCACCAGATATAAGGCAAGGCCCTCCTACTTAATACTTCATTCCAACTTGTGGAAAGCTGGCGAATGGTTGAAAAACAGCTTTGTCCCTAAACAAAGGACTGCACAGATCATAGTTTGGTTATGAAAGGAGATTAGCGCTAGTGATTATTGATCTGGGAAGAATAACATTTTTTGTTAATGTTGGCTTTGTTGTCTAAAAGGCTGAGGTCAGTCAATCTAAGGCACATAGATTTTAAGTAGACACAGACATTGTGTCATTTGACCTTTGGACGATTCATGCGATGGGAATGACTGCGCTGACAGATCGTGTAACTCGATAATCAGTATACGGTGGTTGCTTCTCTGTGGGTGACTGCTTCTGTCGCCGCCTTACATCCGCATATTGTTTAGATGCTTTTTGTTCTAGGGTCTCTTCCGGTAGATATTGCATCCATTCTAAGAAGGTTTGTTTCTTTGGCGATATAAATTTCTCTAGTCTGACAAATCGGTTACGCACTTTGGCATAAATGAGTAAAATCGTTGAAAATCTAAAGGATGTTTTGTTGTAAGAATGTTTGGATGTTTTGTTGTAAGAAATTACTTTTGAACACGTATTTGATATTTAAAAAGTTTCTTTCATTTTTAATCCTGAAAATACGCGTACGAAGGCTTTATGCCAGTAAAACACTAAAGACAATACAAACAGTTTCTGCAGTGACAACAGAAAGTTAAATAGTACAGCGTTGTATAGAGCTTTGAATAAGTCTCGTTTCCTTGCTTCGTATGAATGCTTTGCTTTCGTAAGTGTTCGTCCTTTGGTGGACTGCACGCTTATTCTCCTACCGGTGTGAAAGGCCGTTACGTCGCTCAGTGACACGGCATTTTTCTCCATTGGCTCTGAACATTCATGTCGGTTGTTGTTGTTCATGTTCGTAACAGAGTTTATAACTCGATGCATGCTACTTGAGCGAAGAAAATACAGACAGGAGTAGAAAATATGGGCCTTAATGCCTACAAAGTTACCATCGCATCTGCTTGACTGCAGAACAGCAGGCGGGCCGATGACACAATGCCTCTGTCGAACGAACAGTCAAAAGGAGTACCCTGAAATTTTGTGATTACAGAGCACTTGTTTTTATTTTGTTTTCTGATCGGCTACAGTCGGCCAAAGTTTGCGTTAATGATTATTGTCATAGTTTCAGTTTTTGTATTAAGTGAACCAATTTAGAACTTGCGCTGGATGGCACCTGAAATTTTCATGCAAGGCAGTCGATATAACACGAAGGCTGACGTGTTCAGTTACGCTTTATGCCTGTGGGAAATCTATTCTGGCGAACTTCCGTTTGCTCATCTGAAGCCAGGTATTCTTCCATTAAAGCTTTTCGTTTCGTACCGTTGATTTTAGCGGCTGCCGCTGCGGAAATGGCGTACAAAAATAGTCGTCCGGAGTTGAACTATCACGTACCGAAAGTTATTCACAAAGTGATCCAGGAATCTTGGGCACCAAATGCAGACGTAAGTGGTGGTTTACTGTTTTATGTTTAATGCTTTATTAATAGCAGTCATTGGCATAAATACGTTCCAGTCTTTAGTAGTGTGATCATTGAAATTCCGGTCAGTTTAGCATTACCAGATTTTCGTAAATGGTGCCTTTATAGCCTCTGCATGGCAGGAATAAAAACTGGGTTTACATTCAAGGTGCACTACGATCGTATATCCTTGTTCGTCATTAACGAAACCTGTCCGGTGGAAAACAGCAATTGCAAAATTTGGGACCATCTGGCAGGACAGAGTATGATACGATGGAAGAGTTATAATTTCTAATTTCTAGAATTTCCATAGCGAAATTTGAATTACGAGACAGTGCGTTTTCTGGCAGGGATTGACGTTTTCCGTGTGGCGTCAACGAAGCTCTGTCGAGGGAAAAGTTGTTGGAGGTTATTGAAGTTAAAAGCTTGAACCATGGTATGCTTAAAGTTATTGGGATGGCACGTTGATAAAAAAATGTTGCTGCTGGACAGGAGCCGCCTGAAGCATCGTCTTTGGATTTTTAAAGTTATCTGCAACTTTAACTAAAGCTGCAAAACTGTTTATTTTAAATAAAAATGGCACACGCTGTTCTTACCGAATATAATTACAGGTTCTCTCATTTATGCTAATCATGGCAGAGCTTCATGTCGCCTACTGTATAAATTACGAATGGCGCCTGTATTGGCTCCATAGAGAAGACTCTCCTTAGCAAGAGGTGATCAAGGTCGATGACTATAATAAAACTGTTTTGCGCTCGAGCGATTTTAAAATGCTACAGTATGAAAATTCTGGTTCAGCTGATGATGAAATAAACCTTTGGATCTCGTGACTAGAGGCAAGGTTGTCAATCTTCATTCGATATTTCAGGCACGTCCGGATTTCGCTCAGATTGTCAGGAAACTTGAAGATTCGATGGATAACGCGGTCGAACAAGCGGATTTCAAATCGAATATGGTGAATTCAAAACGGCAAGCAGAAAACTTACCGCCTGCATTGTTTCAAAACAACGGTGGCGCACCCTTGTCGGGTAGGGTTTTCTCCATTGTTCAGCTGGAGGAACTCAAGAAAAGAATTGACAAAAACGGTATGACGAAGGATTTCAGTTTGCAGTGGATTAGCGTTTACTAATATGTTTAACATCCGCATTGTTTCGTCGTGCGGGATTGCACTGCTCTAGCATTTTAAGATGAAGCGATATCCATGTAGCAGTACTAGTACTCAAACACCATGCATTCGTAGTCTGCCTAAATGACCCTTCTAAGCAACGAGAAACAGGAGACTGGTGTACGGTGATGTCTCGTGTTGGAAGAGTTGTGTCAGCTATTCTTCCTTTGTAAGTTCATTGTTCGGAATTTGATGTAGTCATTTCATAGGCTGTTTATTTTGTTACATGTCCATGACAAAAGAACAGTAGAAAATGCGGTCTGGCATAAAAGAACGAGAACTATACGGGTTGTTATGATGATGAACAACACAACTGGTATCAGTTATGTAGTTTTATTTCATAGACCTTTCGTCAAGGTACTTTAGTTCGTTCTTTTCAGATCTTATTAGCCATAAGGCAAGATTTTGAATTGAGCGATTAATTTATTACTTTGTTGGTGTCGACTCAGCTGCTCATTGCTTGGTCCATGTCCGCATCTTCCAGTATATCCAGCGACAAATACTAAATCCATGTCTAATGCAATATTAGCTTGTTTATACTCTTCTAATGAAGTTTTCTTGAGTCATCATGCGCCATTCAATGGTTTGTATTCTCGGGCCGTTGTTGAAACTGCAGATAATTTGTTGAACTGTTAGTTTAGGTCCCTCAACAGTAAATCAACAAAATAGCTACAAGTCGTACCGTAGTATTTCATATCACTTAGCAACGAAATGTCCTTACTGACGATTGTAAGCATCATAAGTTCTTCGTGTGCCTAAGTACATAAAATCGTGAATTACACCCACATGGACCGGATTTCGCGGCGTACTGCACCGTTCCCTTGCTTCTAGCTACTTGGAAGGGGGAGCATTTCGGCAGGTCAGAGTTCTATGGTATTTTAGCAGTTGCAGTGTCAGATGCATCTCGCAAAGTTTTGTTCTGTATGGCTACCTCGCGCTCATGACAGATGATGCTTCAGGAGTGCTGCTCTTAATATGCTATGCCAAATGAACATCATAAGTTGTTCATTCGCCGGAGTATGTCAAATGACGAATGAGTGCTTGACCCTTAGCTGTGACCAGCTTAAATGACTCCTTATACAACTAAGAGCAAGGGGACGATGCAGTATGCTGTGAAATCTTGTCTTGGAGGAGACATTCGCGACTGACCATTCGAAAACATAATCTCTGTGTATGCAATTTTTTGATATTAAAATTTTTTTGGCGGCACTGTCTGACTCCTCTGCCTCGAAACTGACTGAATGAAAATTTCTTTTTTAGTTTTACGTTTTGTGGAATATCGGTTTATTTGAAGTTTTTATTTAACTACTTGACTTTTTACCGTAGATTTTTCGCTACATATTATGCTTATTATGAAATATTTTAGGCTATGTTATCGATCCGTTGCAAAGCGTTAAATAAATTATTGAGCTGCTTAGCTGATGTGACCCGTGATTTGGGCGATTATAATCGGCTTAAATTTGGATTTCCAGAAGCAACTATTCTTCGTCAAACCGAGCGTACGATGATCGAAATGGAAGTAATGGTCGAATTAACTGCGAATATACTGAATTTCGTGTTCCTCGTTCAGTATCATGTTCGTCGCTCAATTTTTTATACTGGGGACTGTTTTCCCTGATTATTTATTTCATTGTGTCAGTAGTTCTTATGTTAATATCGTTCCTGATAAATATATAAATTACTGAAGTGCACAGATATTGTGTTGTTTTCAAGTCAAATGAGAAGCAAAAATAAGATCTCTATTGACAAAAGTAAAATTTCAACTTTGACCTGAAGAAGCAAATCAGCGAATGTACTTCACAATATAAATATTAAACCGTCATTCTGTATGCTGATAAGACATCATGAGCCCAGTGGTGAGAAATACGTATAGCAAAGCAACCCTCACACAATCATAAAGCACCACGAGTTTTCATGATTATCGCGGTAGATGCCTACTTGACAGATCAACAACATTTACACGAGTTCGATATTACGGCAACGACGACGAATTATAAATGAAGAGGAGCATTTTGTGTGTTTGTTCGGATAATGTTCTTGAGCTGTTTTCCTAAGCAGAATGTCTCTAATTTCAGATATCTAATGTATTTTAGCTGTTAAACTCTCTCCCGAGTATAAGGGCCACTTACTGAGTCATGACTTACTTGGCTTATTGAATGTCACAAGGGGTTTCGCATCCCCACGCTTCTTTCACGATTTATCATTGCATTCTGTCCTGCACAGTATCATATATGATTGCAAGTCAATTACTGTGTCAGTCGGTGAGGCCCATGTGCATGTTCCACAGTTCGTAAGGCATTAAGATGTCGACCTGCCTCTCGGACTTTTCCAGAATGGGTTCGGTACGCTACGAATCAAGATGATGACGAACCGCTTGTCGTCCTGTTTCAGTGTGTGGCCGAAAAGCGGCAGTTTTATTTTCTAATATTCGCCAGAGGGAGAGTTTATATTCTCTGCCCTGCGAACTCTGTTTGTACTCATTCTAACGTACTCCAGCAATTGTGCATTCATGATCTTATCAATCGATCCATAGCTGAGTATTCTGCGCCAAACATATCCAGCGCGTTCATTTCCTTCTTGGTAACGGTCCATGTTGCTGCGGCATCATCAATTCTGGTCGAATAGCTGTCAGATATACATGAACTTTCACTGAATACTGACAGCAGTTTTCCACTGTCAGTACTGCAGCATTTTATATGCAGTTTGAACGTTTCTGATGATCATCGATTCAAAATAGCAAAAGTTGGTGACGTTTTCTGCATAAATTTTCATGATGTTGACATTTACTGGAGCATACCGTCAGAAAAGAACTTTGCATTGCGGTGGTTTCAGTTTCAGTCTGTAATTGGTGCTGGCTGTTACCATCGCTGTCAACACCTTCGTTCTGAAGTTCTTTCGAGTTCATTGAAATGCCCAAGCATCTTCAGCATGATTCACATCTTGCAACTGGCATCCTGATGGTTGTTGTTTACAGAAGCACTTGGCTATAAATGTTTTTAACTGCCTCTGTCAACACGGCATCCATGCAGTAGATGAATAGCATTAGTCCGGTGACCGATCTTTGTTGTAAGGAAAGTTGTGTGAGACCGTTGAATGTGTTCTTACCACCGCTGTTGTCCTGATGTAGATATTTTTCAAGATATGAAAAACTTTGTCTGTCACCCCGTCATTTAACAGCTCGTACAGGATTTCGCGGTCTGGAGAATCGAAAGCTGCCTCAAAGTAGACCAACCCAGTCAACAGTGGTTTATAATATCGGTTATATGTTTCCAGCAAAAGGCGTAATGTTAGAATGGGTCGATGATCGATCGGCCCGGACGAAAGCCATATTATTCTTCTGTGGTGGTATTTTCTCTGTAGGGTGGAATTCTGCTGACGATAATTCTTTCAGTGCCTCGCAGAGGAGACTAATTTTTCAGTAATTCTGATACCTTTGTGTACCGGAATACTTATTGCTTGGTGCCACTCTTACGGTATTGTCTTTGTTCGTCAAATCTCCTAATGATGTTCGACAACGCTTGCTATCCTCTATTAGACATATGTTTCAACAGTTCCACGTGAACATTATCTGGTCGCTGCTTTACGACTTTCCTTTTTAAAAATGCCTTTTTAAGAGCATTCTTAATCTCTTCGCTAGTTGCTACATCCGCTGGAATCATGCTGAGACGTCATACTTCGCTGGAAGCAGAAGCAGCTGAGGGGAGGTCGGTGTTTGCTGGAAATGTTCCCGAAATTCGGCACATTTAGGACCTATGAGCAAGCGTGATCAAGCTTCGAACTAAGGAAAAACTAGCTGATATTATTTCTTCCGCTGTATTGCCGGATTTAAGCGAAAACTCATTTAAGGTTATTATATTTGAACGGGTATTCGATGACAGCAGCTCGTTTTAGTGACAACACGATTGTTTCTTCAGTCAAATGACATTTAAGTTCGGCTTCCTTCTCTTTCGTAAATGCCTTATTTCCTGCAGATGTGGCTCTTTCCGTTCTTTCGTCAGCTTCTAAGTCTTTCCTGGCACAGATTTACAGGTAAGTCCTTCCTGGAGCAGTGGAATACTTTCGCCAGAGGCAATCAGTAGGCAATTGCTGAAATCACCGCACCTCACAGACAAATGCCTTTACAATGTCTCATTGAACGCCATTGAGAATTTTTTCCTGACATCTGGATTTTACTGTAATGATGCCATATTAAGCCTTGGCATCCTCTCCAACCTTCTGGCAAGAATACACGCTACCATCTTTAAGACTATCTAGGACATGGTGCATCTCCAGATGCTTTTGGGCCGTTTTACCATGTGCTTCAATGGTCACTTATGAGTATGTAGTCAAACTGTCGTTGTAACTTCTTCCATTCACGCTCATTCCCCTACTGGATGGTCAAACGCTGTGGGCCTTGCCTGCTGACCTTCGTTTCAGAGTCATCGCAGTTGCTGGGCTGAAACTTTTGGCGAGGTTGAGGAGTATCAATCCATTCTCTGTGGTCGCTTTTGCGAGCAGGAACTACTTCCTCAGTGAAACAGTGGTTTCACCCCTTCCGAATCCATTGGCGTCGATTTCAAGGATTACAAGGTCGACGTTATTGCATCAAGTAATTATTCAAGCCTATCCTAGAAAGCGTTCTTTCCCTGTTCATCTGTGTTGTTTGCAGATGTGTGGGCACTCGTAGATCATGTTGTTTTGAACGACTTCCAGACTTTTATTCAACACAGTCTTGGGCTAATTGCCCCCCCCCCTCATTCTTTTACAAGTCCTTCATAGTTTGTGCGCACTGTGATTCCCTAACAACA